AGACGTAGCCCTGTAGTTTCTGCAGAATATTAACCTGCAGTTGTCTTTAATCTGGAGGGGAATGTAACAGATTAGCAACCCTTGAAGAGAGAGGCGCTTATAATGTTTTTAGTTAGCCAGGTCCTTGCTAGCCCAACTGGGCCTTAACTGGTCAGGCTTGGCTCAGGGAGGAATGGGTAAGACGAATCACTGCTACAAACAAGAAGCTTATGGAAATAAGCTCCAGGTGTACTCAGGAAAATGTGGAGATTTGGAACGGATGGGTGCCTAGATGGGAAGTTGCGTCAGATAGCTAAAGCAGCCTGGAAGAAGGCATGAAAGCAGGTGTGGGAGAAGATGGTGATTGTGGTGGAGTGGATAGTGAGGTGTGGTAATACATGAGAGCAGGCAGGACTGCACAAATCCTTGAAGGTGAAGATGAAAGCTTTAAGTTGATACAGCTGATGAGAGGAAGCCAATGGAGGGTTTTGAAGCACAAGGCAGATGTGGTCCAGGGAGTAGGTCACAGATGTGGGCAAATACAGGCTCACGGGCTGGATCCAGTTCCGCAGGGTTAGCTGCTGGCATGCCACCACTGCTGTTTTTACCTCTACAAGTATGGGTGATTTCAGCTCCCATTGGTCATGGGTCACATATTCCTGGCCAATAGGAGCTGTGGGAAGAGGCGAGGCCCAAGACACCATTTCCTGCAGCTGCCATTGGCTGGGAACAGAGATCCATGGCCAACGGGAGCTGCAATCACCTGTACTTGAAGAAAGGCAGGTAAATATAGCGGCGGTGGCCTGCTAGGGGCTGTCCCTGGCACACTACTGACCCTTTATTGCCCACAAATTGCATGTTATATGTGTGCAGGTATATGTATCTTCTAAGATAAACATGTCTAAACATGTTCTCTACAAGGTAATGGAACAGATTGCAAAACACAGAAGAATCCGTGAAAGCAATAGTGTAAATGGGGACACTATTTACACTATTGTGTAAATCTGAACGCAGAAATACTTCCTGTTAAATTTTATCCTGGGAAATGGTGGGCAGAGAGAATGATTCTAGTTCTGAACATGGACCACAAAAATAAGATAATAAAGAATAGCACTTCTTTGGGACAAGAAGTGCTCTCAATGTTGGTTCAAATCCCCATAGATGATAATAAGAGGAAGGCTAGTAGCATGGCTTAATACTTAATTGTGTTTTGGGGAAATACTATGCTACCTTTGTATCTGCATTAGCTTTAAAGGAATAGTTTTGAGAAAGCCTTAATTATGTAACCTTTAATAGACATTTAAATTTGAGAGCGAGAGACTGCTTTTATTCCCATATCATTTATGTTGTAAAATTGCTTGCATTACATTTTCCCATTAATTAATTAATCCAACATTTAGGTAATTATCCTCTTATGTTCAACTAAACTCTAGGCTATACTAAATTTTACCTACTATCTAATGTAAACAGCGGAACAAGAATATAGCAGACTTGGATGTTTGTAATCAGAAACTTAAAGCTATCATTAAGATGTGCAAACAGAATACCAAGGTTTGGATTTGTCATCTATAAAAAGTAAGAAGACCGGTCCAATGAACTAAAAGACATCAAACATAAATGTAAAAATTGAATTTGAAATCTAGGGTAACAGAGGATGGATCAGCTCCATTGTAAACCAAAAATAACAACAACAAGCCCCAACAAAAATATTCAATATTCTCCAGTTGTGAGAAATGTATGTGGGAAGGGTCTGGTTTGAAATTCCAAACACCCTGTACCCCTTTGATAAGCACAGCAGGTTGGTACATAACAGCCTATTTACAATTTTTATATTTTTGGACCAGGTTTTTACACTTGGGCACATAATGTGGAGGAGATCACATGGTTTGCAAGTAAATTATATTCCTTTGAGAAGACACATGGCATATCTGGTTCACCGCTTCAGATTCAATTTATACTTTTTTTCAGCCCAAACACTGCTGTTCAAGGTTTCTCATAACCTGATAAAGAGTGTTGTGTTACCATCTCTTTCAATATAGACATGCACCGGTGTTCTGGGGGAACATTGTTTTCCTGAAGCACTTGTAAGCATTACTGTGTATGCCAAAAAGCCCTGAACTACCCTGTCACTCTCCATGGCAGCACAGTGCATTCTATAGCTTTTGTTTACTATAATTGTCACATTGTGTCTCTGCTCCTGATTCTGGTGTTTGTTCACTCATTTCGTGCATACGATGTCTCCAGAAGCTCCTTCTGTGTTGCATTGTTACAACATAGAAATTGCAAATATGTTTGTATTTTGAATGTTGTGAGCCGTATTCAGATTATAAACACTGCTCTCGTGTGTATTAATGATGGGACTTATGCATGTATAATATCTGATTCCCAGAAAGTTCGAAGCACTTTCCAGACTTCGCAAACTGTGTGTCATATTTACACCAGTTTTGCATTCCACTACATTGATTTCAGTAGAGTTAATGTATGCCGGAATTGTATTGTGAAAATTATACCTACACACATGCGTGCACGCATGTGGGCACGCACACACACATAAATACACACAGACACACACACAAATTTTGCCGTTATGTCTTGGGACATCAGATAAATCTGTTGACTTTACTGTTAACTGTTTGTACTCTTTGTTCTACTCTTGAAATAAATGTAATAATTAAACACTTTAAATAGTCTGCTAATGCCATGTCTTTAACTATTGCCTTTTAAAAGTCTTAGACCTTTAATATTTAAATTTTATTTCATTTGCTTTTTGTTGGCATGTTTGTGGGTATCACACATTGAAACTGTGGCCATGCATTGTGACACAGAAGGATGACTGTTTAGTTGGCAACATAAACCAAATACCTTCCAACCTCATTCTATGCGCACACGTCTCAGCACGTAAAAAATACCCACAAAATAACGACGTGTATGTTTAATGTATACTAGATTAATATTGAAGGATAGTTTCATTCCTTACTAGTTGCTATTTTTTTCTCTCATGTATTTGTTTTATTCAGACTTGTGTTTCTTGTGCATTATTTGAAGTTACTACGGCAACCTCTCACCATCTGGCATGGTTCAAGCATGCTGGGAGTTGGGCTGCTAGGTGCTCACGTTTGTCATCTTTCTCCTAGGACCTTAGCACTTTCTGAATGGCTCTTTTCCCATCAGTGCAGCTTGTGATTATTGACTATAGTGGGAATGAGGCAAATAAACAGGTTACCTCTCCAAGACTTACAAAGCCACTTTTGATTTCCTGATTGACTATCTCATTACTGCATATGTTTATTATTTAAACTAAATCTGTAAATAGTATTTGTTCTTTTTAGCTTGCAGTAAGGCTGGAAGACATACTGTGCAGTTCTTTGAAGTTTGATGGTTCATAGTGTTGTGGGTTTTTAAAATTTATTTATTTATGTATTTATTTTTTACTGTTAGGGAGAAGTAAGTGTTTCCTGGAAGAGTGGATTTCCTCATCTGTATCTCATTGTCCTTTGACACCCTACTGATGCTTTCTGTTCTTCCTAATGATAGAAGCACAGTACTCTAACAGCTACCTAATTATTTTTTTCATACTGATCTATTCCATTTTTTGAAATGCTATCAATTATTTGGTTAATGAATACTGCTTTGTGAGGAACTCATGTTGTCAATCCACTGGGAAGCTCTTTCCGTGCATGGAGCCAGTAAATTAATGTACACGATTTGTTGCATCTTTTGATAATAACATATTCTAAGCAGAAATCTTCCTGTTAATGTTAATTTAAATATTTCTTCCTCGGTCAAGTGTTCGCTGTGATTACAACTATTTTTACACATGTTTGACCTAGTTTCAATCATGCATCTCTGCTGTGATCCATTAAATACATCTCAACAAGGCTAAGCACAGCTGAAATGACTTGTCAAGTGGATTTGAATAACTTCATCTTCCCTGCAACTTTAAAAATGTACATATAAATATTCAGTTCCCTGCATACCGTACTTACTGAAAAAAGAACTTCCACATCATCACACTCGAGTAGCATGTTTGCACGAGGGTTCTGATTCCAAATTTCTTACCCCAATTATAAACATGAATTTAAGACTGATGGTTTAAATGTGACATTTACTGCATTGTGAAATAGGTAATGGTTCTGAATTCTTGTATTATAAAATCCTTAGGCAATGTAGATGAATTTAGATGAATACACATATTTTTGCTAACAGATTTGTGAAGTATATATAAGTTCTAACAGTATGGGAATAGTGACGCTGGGAATGCCTGAATACTTACGAAATGAGAGGCTATACCTTAAAGACTGTTCAGTCTTAACAGGATATTGGGAAGAGCAGGGAGTAGGGGTTGGATTTTTGACACAAACCTGCTTTACTGGCACCTTGCATTTCATCTATCAATCAGTCACACTGCTGTGGAAGTTGACAGGTTTGCTGCCAGAAATTGCCTAGCCAAATTGTGATATTTGTTGGTAGCAGAACTGCTTTCATTAACTAACGTATGTCATCTGTTAATTTCCACAGACAAGTTAGTAAACACATGCACTCATGCTAGACTGTAATACTAGATACTGCTAGACAGCTTATAAAAGTTGGTTGCAACAAATAAATTAACATTCTTAAAGTCATTTGGGCTGAACAGCACGATAGTACATCTACTAGTGTCTAGTACAGAATGCTTATCTCAGCAAATGGTTACTTCAAATGAGTGGAAGAAAACACGTTCTGTATCATCTCTTAAAGCTCCTACGAGGAGAAAAAGACAACACATGCTTACTTCTGTCATATTCTGTTATTTGCATTAGCAATTATTTCTTTCAAAATTAAAATCAAGAAACTGCAAAACATTAGCAGTCTCACCACTGCACCCACTGCAGCTTGCTATTTCTGGCAGTTGTGGATTTTAGTTCACCAAAAAAAAAAGAAGGATTAATTTGAGCAATACCTATAAAAGTAAACTGTTGTAGGACAGAAACCCAGCATTTCCTGAGAAGAGCATCAATAACCAAAACCATACAAATCCTTACCTGAAAGCTTTGGGATTACCCGCAGAAAATGTACTGTATCTTCTTAGTCTTACATAGTAGTCAACATTCTGGCTAGCACTAATGTTACTCCCAAAGAAGATATAATAAGTCCTTTATATTGGAATTTTCACTGTTTATAAGCAAGAACTGTACTGGGTCTGCTCACGTAGGAATAAATAAAAAAGCAGTACAAACTGAACAGCAGCTACCATATGAAAGTAAAAGACCTCTAGTGGCCATAACCTGAAGTTAAAAAAGGCTTCCCTTTTTGTGCAGTAAGTACTATAGTAGACAAAATGGTTGGGTGGGATAAATTGCAGCTGATACTTTACAATAATGTGTGATCTTGTTGAATTTATCATAGTAACAAAGTATAAAGTCAGTCTGAGTTAAAAGAGAAATCTGATTTCACCAAACCAGTAAAAATTAGAAATGCTTCTGGTTGAAAAGATAGGGACTCACTTGGATCACTTGTAAACTGATCAAATGCAAGGGTTTGAGTCAATCTGTCAAGGTACGTCTACACAGCAGGGCTAAAGTTGAACTAAGCTATATAACTTCAGCTACGTCAATTGTGTAGCTTAAGTCAAAATAGCTTAACTTGACATTAGGTGCTGTCTACACAGCAGGAAGTCGAAGGAAGAACACTCTTCCTTCAACTTCCCTTACTCCTCACGCAATGAGGGTTATAGGAGTTGGAGTAAGAAGTCCTTCAGCTTGACATTATTTTAAAATAAAGGCTTGTCGTGTAGACATGCTCTTTGTTATTTCAGAATAATGTCAGTTATGCCAAAATAACACTGCTGTGTAGATGTACCCTCAGAGAATACAATAGACTTCCGATAATCCGGAACCTATGGGATTTATGTGGTGCCAGATTATCAAATATGCCAGGCTATCAGGAGGTACTATAAGCAGGTTATATATATACTGTATACATTATATACTGTATATAAAGTGTTCTTAACCCTTTTTATTGTACATACTATATACAGTATACTGTAATGTTTTAGTTTTTTTAAGCCTTTTTTTTTTACTGTAGTTACTTTCTAGACTTGTGTCTATGTCATATTTTTTTTCATTTTTAGGGTGTGTCTAAACTTCACTCAAAGCTCGAAATAAGCTATGCAATTTGAGCTACGCAAATTGTGTAGATTATTTTGAGTCTGTTTTAGCTGATTTCGAAATTTGATGCTGTCTACGTAGCACTTATTTAGAAATAAATCGCTATTCCGAAATGTCCCTTACTCTTTGCGGAATGAGGTTTACAGGGAAGTCAGAATAGTAAGCCTGTTATAACGGGTGCGCTCAAAAGATGTGGAATAGCTATTTAAGTATACGTCTGGAATCCAGAAATTGCGCTGCGGTGTAAACGTAGCCTTAGAGAAATCCAGTGTTTATTTTGAGTTAGTTCTTTGTTAAAAAAATTATTGTAATTTTTACAAGATAAAAAAGTATCAATGGAAGAGATATTGTCTTCCTCAAAGAGAAACTGCAGTCTTTTAGCCTCACCCCTATATCCTGAAGGTTTGGCAAAGGAGAAGCACTTCTGAAATTGAGACCTAAGATTATAAATAATTTTACATTTTATTTCAATTCTGTTTTAAAATTCAGAAGAATATAATATTTATAGGAAAATTTTACAGAATTTAATAAGGTACGTGTACATATTTGATAGGGTTCAACAGACATTACTTGAAAAAATCTAAAAAATGTAAGAAAATAATATCCTCTCTTTTTTTGGATGTTTTTATTCTTCCTGTAGAATTCTGTCATAGGGATATAATTAAGTTGTTTTAGGAATATTCAAAAGAATCTTACAGAAAGTTTTCATTTTCTATGATTTTGTATGTGGTTCACAATTCCTAAAAAGATTGTCGTATTCTACAGAATTTCTCTGTAACAAAGTCATGTGCTGTAGCAAGCTGGAATGCTGCCTCTCTTACATGGTGTTCTCTTGTGGGTGATATCACTTTTTGAACAATGAAAGTTGTTTTGAGTGTCATCCTAAGTATTGCCAGTTGTAGGTTCCTGTTAAGCACATTTCACAGTGAATATACAGTGAAAAGCACCTTTTATCTTCTGAAAATTCATGTTCTTGGGCAGGCACAGGATATTTGTTTTTGTTTGGTTGGTTTGGTTTTTTTGTTTTTGGTGATTTGGCATTGCAAAATCTTCTAAATCTACACTCGAGATATGCATTTCTTTACTGTTTTTTCTCTTTCTTTTCATTTTTAGAGTCATTTTGTGGCATGCATGACAGCAATCTTAAACCAAATGGACGACCAACATTACTCCTTTTACATTGAAACCTTTCAGACAAGTTCAGAGCTAGTGGTAAGTACAAAGTATTCACATTTAAAGCTGGAAAATAGACACATGACCTTCAAATATTTCATATTCTGCACTGGATTACTCCATACATTTGGTTCTAGCAGACACTCCTATTTAAGAAGAACAGATGGCTTTGCCAAATACAAGACATGGTTTCTAAATATGGAGTATCACCAACCTGCAGATACACATTTGTGTGATAGATCTCTTGCCCCATCGTCCCTGGAAGTTTTGTTTTGAGTGCTACAGAGTGCTTGCATGATGCCATATCCATGTGAAACTTGAAAAGTTATAGGTGTTGCTGCTCTGGGTAGATGATTCCCTTGCCATCTTTGTCTTCCCTACATGTAGAGGAGATCAGTTAAGGGTACGTCTACACTACAGAGAAGATCGAAGCTAGCGCTGTCGATCTTCCAGGGTTTGAATTAGCGGGTTTAGTGGAGACACGCTAATTCAAACTGAAAGGGGTCCTCCAGTCGATGCTGATAAACCTGCTTCCATAAGGAGTAAGGGAAGTGGAAGGGAGGGTTCTCCCTTTGACTTCCTGCAGTGTGGACAGTGCCAAAAGTCAAGCTAAGGTCCTTCAGCTTCAGCTCCGCAAGTAACGTAGCTGAAGTTGTGAACCTTAATTCGACCGTATCCTGTAGCATAGACATATCCTTAGAGAATTTGTTAGGAGAAAACTCTGCTATCTACTGTACTACTCTTCAACCACTCTTATCCAAAGTGTCTCCAAAGTGCCTGAATTAATATGCTCTCTACTCTGCATTTCGTCTTTTCATTGTTTGATAGCTTATTTTTACTCTACAGCTCAGTTTAGTGATCCTTTAACTTTTAGTTCTAGCCTACTCCTTCAATTTTACAGATCTTGTGTCCACTTTTCTTTCTCTCCTTTATCTCCATTAACAGCTCCATTGTTGTTCTGATTTACATGATACCATTCCTTCAATGATTACAGAAGTTCTCTGACCACACACCTTTTCTTGACCTCCCAGCTCTTCAAACACCCCTTGCACCCAAAGGGAGGTGTGGACAGTGGTGCACCTTTTGGATTACACCAGTTTTTTTGCCAGATGAAAGCTCTTCTAGGAAAATTCTTAAATTGCCTAATGCAGCTGTTTTTCAGACCCATGCGCTGTCTGAGAATTCAAATGGTGCAGACAATGACAGATCCAAGCCCAGCTAGTTTTCCTTTTTGCAATTTTCCAAATGAGTCAGGCTAGCTGGCAATATGGGGATATTTTGTTGCATTATTGTCTAGGCACTTTGGGCATATACTTAGCAATTTTACCAGTCTATATAGTGCAGCAATCTACTTGTCAAGTAAACAGAAAAGTATTGTCAAAAATGATGTTGTCATGTTTGGGTTTTTTTCTGCCTTTTTTAAATACACTGACTTGTGAACACTTAATTTTTTCTCAGCCCCATACAAGTAATTTCCTGGCAATGGAGATCATAAGGATTTGTTTCCATGTTACACTGTTCGGAGACATTGTTCATTTGGTTACCCTTAACAAAATCTGACTCTGAAGAGCCCAATTGTCTGCTGAGTGCCACTTATGTGGTATCAGTGCAGGCTGACAGAGCTTTGAGTGATTGGCCTCAAGTGACTGCCTTTGAAAGCTTCCTATGGAAATCTTTGGGGTAAATTTCCATATGTGTAAACACTTAATGATAGAATAATTGTGTTAATGAATATCTTCCAATAATGGCTGTGCCTTTGGCAAGTGTTCTTTAGAAAAGATGAGTGGGTTTTGTTTTTTGTACGAATGTTTTTATGTGCGTGTATTTATTACTTAATATGAATAATTTCTGTGTAGAACTGGCACACTCTTGCCAAATATGTACTTAGGAGGACAACTACATTTTTAAAAAATGTGCAGTTTGCTAAGAGATGACACTATTATATGGTGTACAACTCATCAACAATTCCACCCCCAAGGGCATAAATTAATATTCTGTTTACTGCGAATTGTTGTTCAGTTCATTCATCTATGGCTTATCATTGCTCAACAGTTCAGTGGAATGTGATATCAACTTTTATTTGTAGCCTCCAAATGCTGTGTTACAGGACTTTGGTCCCAGTTCCACTGCCATTGGTGTCATTGGTAGCTTTGCTTTTGACTTCTGTCAGTGCGGAAGGCAGCCTTCACTGGTGGTGCTTTCTGCCCAGAAGGAAACTGGCTTTGGAGAATGGTGTTTGCAGGATGCAGAATCATAGTTGTGTTGTTGTGTTGTTCTAGGACTTTCTGATGGAAACGTTCATCATGTTCAAAGATCTCATAGGGAAGAACGTTTACCCTTCGGACTGGATGGCAATGAGCATGGTGCAGAACAGGTAAGGAGATACGGAAAGAGGGCAGACACCTGATACACACCTGATACAGACTTTGGTGCTAATGAAGGGAACAGCAAATTTCCTTTTCTGTACACACTAGAGGCAGTGTTCCCTGCTTCCGATGCCTTTTCAGTTTTGGTTCCTATCTCACCTAGTGTCGATACTGTTGGAAATAACTGGCTGTGCCAATGGACTACTTTCCCAAGCTTGACCAGCAAAAGGAATTTGATTTCTATCAGGCTGGTGTCAACATCAGAAAGAAGAGTCAGAGTTAGCCCCATGTTGACAAAAAAGAAGCCAAGGAGTAAATAGAGGCTGTCTAGATCAGGTCTATCAGGATAGCTTCCAATGCATCTGTAATCTGTAATCTGCATCTGTAATCTGCATCTGTAATCTACGGTTTCTCTCTCTCATTATATCTCCAGAGGGAGAATACTCAGTACCAGCCCCACATCCCCTGAGAAAGCTCTGTCTCCTATGGTATGTCTACACT